ACCGATTCAGGCGCTGGGGATTCCACAGTGAGTATGGCAAAGCCTCTGCCTTTATGGAGCTTACATTCTAGTGGAGAAGATGTCAGTGACAAATATATAATGTCCGAGGTGGTCTGTTTCATGAGGAGGACCGGGAAGCCTAAAGGGTTAGGACACTGGGACGTTGGGGGATGGGCCTGCCTCGCTGGTCCCCACTCAAGGTGCTGGTTGAGTAGGGACCAGAAGGAAGGGAGGGAGTCATGCAGACGTGGGCGAAGTACATAGCAGGTGGTGGAAGAAGGAAGTTCAGAGGCCCCTGGGTGGGAGCGTGCTTGGCTCGTTGATCAACTAGCAAGGATCCAGGTGGCCGCAGAGAGTGAGGCTGTCTGTGTGTGTGCATGCACATTTGACAGCAAGGTCAAAAGGTGTCACGGGCAGGACCATGTGGGTTAACCACAGTAAGCTCTGGGTATTCTGGGGACATAGGAGCCATTGGGAGGTGTGGAGCAGAGGAAGAACATGATCCCTGTAATAAGGGGTCACAAGGCAGGCAAGTGGGAGGCAGGGAGCTAGGGAGGGCGTGGTAGCCGTGGAGGTGGTAAGGACTGGCCAGATTCAGAACTCATTTGGAAGACAGGGAAGACAGGCTTTGCCGTGAATTGGACATAAAGTGTAAGAGAATGAGAGCACTCCAAGATGACTCCAAAGGCTTTGGCCGGAGCCAGGGGGAGTTGCCATTAACAGAGATGGAGAAGGCAGGGGAGGAGCAGGCTGGGGTTGGAGGGAGTCACAGGTGGGATGGATCCATGTTGCTGGAGCTGTTGTTGGATGTCCAAGTGGAGGCAGCAGAGAGGCTGTGTGTGTGTGGAGTTGAGGGGAGTGCCCGCGGGAGAGGTCAGAGCACATGAGAGCCAGTGATCAGTATGCAGATGGTATTCAGGCTGGATGAGATTGCTCAGGGAGTGAGTCTAGCCCGGGAAAAGGTCCTAGGCCTGTGCCCCAGGCCACAGCAGCCTGTCTCATTGGGTGCTTATTATGCTCCCGGTACCTGTGGACATTCTGTTAATACTCCTTCCAAGGAGGTACTATCCTCATGTCTCCAAATGAGGAAGCTGAGGTTCAGACAAATGAAACCATTTCCCCAAGCTGCACAGCCTTACTAGGGTCAGAAAGTGCACCCAGGACTCTGGCTCTCGGGCCCTCACAGCCCCCAGGCAGACCCTCGCTGGGCCTGATGCAGCCGGCAGGAGGCTGGCTGGGATGACCTTGGCCAAGGCCAGATGAACTGCACTGGGGCAGCTTGCCCACCTCCCTGGGCCAAGCCGGGAGTGACTCAGGCCTTGGCTTTGTGCTCATGCTAGGAGAGGAGGTTGGCTGTTTGCCGCCCCTGCCAGGTCTGGATTCCTTCACTGGGGAGGTGGAGGGTCGCTCTGATCCTGGCTCCCTGGGACCTGGAGGAGGACCGGTGTGGGGTTTCTGCTTCTCGGTCCCCAGGTCACCCACAACCATGAGTTTAAGGGAGCCTTGGAGTCAGCCTCCAAGAGGTCTGATGAGGCCAGTGGGCTGTTGGCTTCCTTTTTTAGAAGCCAGTCAGGGCTTATCTCCCTCTGTTTCCCTGCCAGTGCTCAGCAGCTGGGGTTCTGAGAGGTGGTACTGTCTCTCCAAGGTCACAGAGCCAGCTTGGGAGCAGAGCCAAGAAACCTTGCTACCACGCTGTCTGGGTCATGTTTCCTCTGCTGAAATGTCCTCCAGGCTGTGGCCAGTCTCCTGAGCCTGGGGCACACATGGCTGAATTTCTCATACTCCTTGGCTTGTAGCCCTGTGAGCCTTACTTGGCATTTTTTTTTTTTTTCTCTTAGGAAGTGGGTTCCTAATTCTGGCCTCTCTACATACTGGCTGTGTGACTTTGGGCAATTGACCTAACCTCTCTGAACTGGTTCTCACAGCTATGAAATGGAGACAGTAACACCTATCTCATGGAGTTGTAATAAAGATTAAATGTGAAAGCACCTGGCACAAGCTTGTAAACCTGTCTCCTGCTTGCCTTAATCCTTTCACATAATTTAAACTGCTTTTCATTTGAGCAGTGTTAGTTGCAAAAGGCAGCCTGGCATGGACAACTCTGACCCTGCTCCCAGGCACGCTGCAGCCATGGCCTCGGACTCTGAGTTTAGTCAGGGGGAGAGAGGGACAGTGCTATGAGAATTGGGGGCCTCTATAGTCCCCCTGCGAGTCTCTGAGACCTTATAGAGTCCTGTGGAAGTGGTACTGCTGTAAATCAAAATGTTTCCCATTACTGTTCCTGAGCACTCTTCATCCACAGAACCACCCTTTGATAGAAAAGTCTAGACTTGGCTGGGCGCGGTGGCTCACCCCTGTAATCCCAGCACTTTGGGAGGCCGAGGCAGGCGGGTCACAAGGTCAGGAGATCAAGACCATCCTGGCCAACGTGATGAAACCCCTGTCTCTACTAAAAATACAAAAATTAGCTGGGCGTGGTGGTGCGTGCCTGTAGTCCCAGCTACTCGGGGGGCTGAGGTAGGAGAATCGCTTGAACCCGGGAGGTAGAGGTTGCAGTGAGCCAGGATGGCGCCATTGTACTCCAGCCTGGTGACAGAGTGAGACTCTGTCTCAAAAAAGAGAGAAAAGTCTAGACTTTGCCTTTACTCTGTGTGTCCTCAGGCAACTCCCTCTTAGATTTGGGTCTCTGGCTCTTTACCTGTAATGTGAGGCGGGCGGTGGGGCTGCGCTGGAGTTGTCAGCCCATTCCATTTCGTTGCCCCCTCAAGGATGTTTTCAAGGCTTTGCACCTGGGCTACATGGAAGCAGCTTCTTGAGCTGCTGTGTCTCCAGTTGCCCAGATCAGCCCGGCCTCCCCCTGGGGCTGTGAGGATCAATATTTCCTTCCAGAGGGCAGAAGGAGTTCCAGGGATTGACATCAGGTGCTGGGGAAGACTCCCCTAGAATCTCCCTACCCCATTCCCCTGCGAGGGCAGATTGACCAGTTTACCCACTACTCCTGGCTGACCCCAGCCTCCTGGGGTCTAGGCATTGTGCCGAGAATGATCTTATTTCATTCCCTTTGAAACCCCCTAAGGGGCACATCCAGATGAGGGTATGGGGCCGTGGAGAAGATAGGAGATGCGTCTGAGGCCCCACAGCTGGGAGTGTAGAGAAGGAACCGCAGCCCCATCTGAACTGGTGTGGGCAGCAGGAGTGCGGGAGGGCTTCTGGGCTTCTCAACACTCAGAGAGGCCCAGAGCCCGAGGGAGCTGTCCAGAGGGCTGCTAATGGGTAAAACATAGGCTCTGCCATCTTCCTTCTTCTTCTCCTGGGGGTGGAAGCTACCTGGGAGTCTGAGGCAGGAGAATCCCTCAAACCTGGGAGGTGAAGGTTACAGTGAGCTGAGATCACACCACTGCTCCAGCCTGGGCAACAGAGTAAGACTCTGTCAAAAAAAAAAAAAAAAAAAAAAAAAGCCGAGGGTGGTGGTACATGCCTGTAATCCCAGCACTTGGGAGGCCAAGGCGGGTGGATCACCTGAGGTCAGGAGTTTGAGACCAGCATGGCCAACATGGCAAAACCCTGTCTTTACTAAAAATACAAAAATTGGCCGGGCGTGGTGGCAGGCGCCTGTAATCCTAGCTACTCAGGAGGCTGCAGGAGAATCACTTGAACCCAGAAGATGGAGGCTGCAGTGATCTGAGATCGCACCATTGCACTCCAGCCTGCGCAAGAGGAGTGAGACTCCATCTCAAAAAAATAATAAAATAAAATAAAATATAAAGCTGCCACTTTTTTTACAATTAACAAAATTACTCTAAGGTCTGGAATAAGCATGAGAAAGTCAGAAGTTGGCTTTTAGGCACATTCCATTCTCAGTGGTCTGTGCTAACGGAAATGCAACCTTGGCAGTGATTGACATGCCTGGTTTTGAGTGGGCTGGGCGATTTTCTGTGGCAGATTTAGGCTCCTCATTATGCTTGATCTTCAGTTCTACCCATACATGTTGTCAGGACACTGTGCTGGCCCTGGGGGCTGAGGGACACACTGGCTGGGGCAGGGGAACTGGGCTTGATGGAGATAAGAACAGAAGTTAGGGTGTATATGGTTTCTCAAGACAACTTTGAGAAAAAACTTCTAGGATTTTTAAAACTACGTAAGAACACTGAGTGTTCCGTAAGAACAAACGTGTCTGTGATATAAAACATGTCAGCCTGACACCGGGGTACAGATAATGAAGTTTAGGGATTGACAATGGCCCTGCGTCTCTGCTTCTCTCTGCTGGGCTGGTCAGAGGAGTGGACTGAGTTTTAGGGCCTGACATGAGTTTTCCAAGAGTGGGAACTGGGCCTCCCCTATGCCCCGGAGGCTCTGCCAGGATGGAACTCTGTTTCCTCTCTCGGGCTGGAAGCTCCTGGTGATACTGGCAAGTCCCGTTTCTCATCTCTGCTGTCCCTGGGGTTCCTTGGAACTCTGCCTGAGATGCCTGCCCTGGTGGTGGGACCTCGATGTTGGGGCACTGAGGTGGGCAAATGAGGAGAATAGGGACTAGAGATCAGAGAGGCAGGATGTCTTTAAACAGCCCCTCCTTCCTCAATCAGGTCTTCAGGGGTCCTTGGCACTACACGTAATGGTAAAGACCAGTGGCTCGGAGGCTGTATGTCCCAGGTTCAAATTCTGGCTCCTCCACGAACTCAGCATCTATGCCTCAGTTTTCCCATCTGCAACATGGGAATACTAGTACCTACATCATAGTATTGTCATGAGTTGGCCCACATAGAGCACTTAGGCTGGCACCCGGCACTGAGGAAGCACTTGCTAACTGGTAGCTGTCCTGTGCTAGTAAAGAACTGTGGGAGTTTCTTACTGCAGCTGGGGAGAAAGCAGGAGGGAGAAGGAGGTCTCCCCTGTGCGTGGTAGGGGACGCGCTTCCTTGCCCTCATTTCTTAATGGCCCTTGGCTGCCACCCTGAGCTCATGTTTGTTAGCCTTGGCCCTGACTATCTCCCTTGGTTTCAGGTGGGACCATCCGTGGAGCCGGTGCCAGGATGCCCCGGGGGTGTGGATGACCAGCCGTCCAGCCCCAGCACGGCCCGGGCCGCATGCCACTGCCCCGCGTGGACCGCTCTCCGAGGGCCGCCTGGACCCGCACCCATAGTCTCCTGACCCGGGGCCCTCGGCAGCCCCTTCCTGCCTGGCCGCCCAGGGCGGAGGAGGCGCAGGAGTGAGCTGCTCAAGCCCTCGGAGCAAGCAAACGCTGACGGCGGAAAGACCCTGGGGAAGGGGCTTTGCGGCCGGCTAGAAACATTTTCCCCAAGCGGCTCCGCAAAATGACCAGCCTGTTCCGTCGGAGCAGCAGCGGCAGTGGCGGTGGCGGTACCGCGGGGGCGCGCGGGGGCGCGGGAGGGGGAGGCGCGGCCGCCCCCCAGGAGCTCAACAACAGCCGGCCGGCCCGCCAGGTGCGCCGCCTGGAGTTCAACCAGGCCATGGATGACTTCAAGACCATGTTCCCCAACATGGATTACGACATCATTGAATGCGTGCTGCGCGCCAACAGTGGCGCGGTGGACGCCACCATCGACCAGCTGCTGCAGATGAACCTGGAGGGCGGGGGCAGCGGCGTCTATGAGGATAGCTCCGACTCCGAGGACAGCATCCCTCCGGAGGTAGGGGCGCGGCCCGGGTAATTCACCACCTGCTCCAACCACCGGTGGAGCCTCTAAGAGGGCCTGGGTTACTCCGCTGTCTGGTTTCTGATTGGCAAGCAGCCTTACTTCCCCTAGGAAAAGGGTTCACCGACCATCCGTCAGTGACCTTATTTTATGGGCAGAAATCATGCAGTCATTCAGCAAACACTGAGCACCCACTCCATGGTGTGCGAGGCGTGGCACTAGACCCCGAGTCAGGAGGCATCAGAATCAAGGTGCTTGTTAAAAATGCAGGTACCCAGACCCCACCCAAATGTACTAAACTCCACTTCCAGGCCTGGAGTCCGCTAGTGTGGCCAAATCAGATCAAGTTTCCGCCCTCCTGGAGCTCACAGTCCAGTATGGACTAGAAGCGCACGAGTGGTACTGACGGCCGGAGTGATAAGTGCTCCATGGTGACGTGGAAGCAGCAGAAAGGGGCGGCTTCCCAGAGGAAGCTAAGCCGAGACTCTAAGCTGAGACCCAAAGGAAGAGCGAAGCCGGGGGAAGGGTGTGCACGGAAAGGGAACAGCTCCTGAAAAAGCTGGGAGGTGAAATCGCGCCTGACTGGCTGGGGAACTGGCTGCAGGACCATCTTCAGGGTTCTAGAGTGAGAGGAGACCAATGAGCTTGACAAAGTCTGACGCTGAGAAAAAGTGTGGCTGTATCCTGGGAGCTTGGCCACCGAAAGGGAGTGAGGAATCAGACTTGCCAGTTAAATCCCTCTCACTGCGGCCTGATGGAGGCGGTAGTGAGCCATAGCCAAGCCATAGCCCAGGGAAGTGGCTGGAGACAGGGGACCTGCCTATTGCATCAGTACCCACCTGCTGGAGGTGGAGAGTCCTTCCCAGTCCCACCCAAGGGTTCAGTGGACGTCTGGTCCCCCAGTCGCAGCAGAGCCTGAGGTGCTTGGTGCAGAAGGCTGAGGCATGCAGAGGCGGATAATGAGAAGGTTGCTGTCCACAGGGCCATCTGGGACATGCACCATGGATAAGCCCAGGACCCAGCAGGAGGGATTTAACTCCACTCTTATATTGAGTCCTGACCTGTGACAGGCATCATCGTCCTAAGTGTCATCTCTTTTTATTCTTCTTCTTCTTCTTTTTTTTTTGAGACAGAGTCTTCCTCAGGCTGGAGTACAATGGCACTATATCTCAGCTCACTGCAACCTTCGTCTCCTGGGTTCAAGTGATTCTCCTGCCTCAGCCTCCTGAGTAGCTGGGATTACAGGGCACATGCCATCATGCTCAGCTAATTTTTGTAGTTTTTGGTAGAGACAGGGTTTCACCATGTTGGTCAGGCTGGTCTCAAATTCCTGACCTCAGGTGATCCACCTGCCTTGACCTCCCAAAGTGCTCAGATTACAGGCATGAGCCACCGCGCCTGGCCCGATATGTCATCTATTCTAAGCCTCACAAACTTTGCGACAAGGTGTTATTATTACCCTCGTTCCCTGTTCTCTATCAGTCATCCTGCAGGGCGAAGTCTCCTTGCTTTTCCTCCTTACTGGATGCTGCTGAGACTTCTCCTGGGGTGGAGAAGCTCTCTTGGCAAAGACATCTGGCTTATCCCTGGTCACCTGCAGCACCCAGGACAATCCAGGCACATAGCAAGCACTGGGGAGTGTTTGTTGAATGAATACATGTTGCTGCTGTCTTTGTGCAGTTTTCTATTTTCTGTCTCCTTGGGAGGCCACTCCTTTGACCTACTTGGAGTAGGTGGTGGAAGGAGTATTGGAAAATACGGATGCTTTTTGTAGAAAGAAGGAGAGAGAGAGAGAGAGAGATAGCGAGTGTGTGTGTGTGTGTGTGTGTGTGTGTGTGTGTGTTTGCAGATAGAGTTGACCATTGAACAATGCAGGGCTTGGGGCAGTGAATTCCCCCATGCAGTCAAAAATCCACTTTTGAATATAACTTTTGTTTCTCCCAGAAATTGACTACTAATAGCCTGTTGTTGACCTTCAGTCTTACTGTTAAAAACAGTTGATTAGGCCTGGCGTGGTGGCCCACGCCTGTAATCCAAGCACTTTGGAGGCCAAGGCGGGCGGATCACCTGAGGTTGGGATTTCAAGACCAGCCTGACCAACATGGTGAAACCCCGACTTGAAAAAAAAATTAAATTAAAAACAGTTGATTAGTATATATTTCGTATGCTGTATGTAGCGTATACTGTATTTCTACACTAAAGTAAGGTAGAGAGAAGAAAATGTTAAGAAAATCATAAGCAAGAGAAAATACGTTTTCTATTCATCAAGTGGAAGTAGATCATGGTAAAGGGCTTCATCCTCATGGTCTCACACCGAGTAGGCTGAGGAGGAGGAGGGAGAAGAGAGGTTGGTCTTGCTGTCTCAGGGTTGGTGGATGTGGAAGAAAATCTGCCTGTAAGTGGACTCGTGCAGTTCAAACTCACGTGATTCGAGGGTCAACTGTACATGCATTAAGTGTGACCTGGAAAGAAAGCTCCCTGCCAGCTCTGACCCTTTCTGCAGTCTGACTTGCCCTGACAGTCTGGCAGGGAGGGTAATATTTCCTCCTTTGTCCACGGCCCCCACAGCCCTGTGAACCTCTGTGAGGCGTCACCACTCCCTAGGCAGGCCCTTGCTGTGTGCGCTTCTGTTTCTCTAAGAATCTTGCTTTCCAAATTGAGCCCCCGCCCGGTAACCCTTCCCTCCCTCGGCAGTCTCCCCAACCCCCTACCTTTGGAACTCTGCCTGGGCCCATAGGCAGGCAGCTCCTGAGCCAGCGGAAAGTGCTTCAGAAAATTTATGAGCCGCAGCTGGAATGACAATAACTGCTGACTGGAAAAAGCCCCCTTTCTGGGGGCTGATAGATGGTGGGCTGGCCCAAGGGGTATCCTTGCCATGGAGAAATATCTCCTGTCAGATAAATGGCCCAGACCCTGCTCCCTGGAGCACCTGGCAGGCATCCATCACCCACAAAGTTAAGCCAGGGGGCCACAGAGCCCAAAACTTCAGCACCTTTAGAGCCAGAAGAACAACCTCTTTGTGGCTGGTGAGGATGAGGGGAAAGGCCAGGGAGGCCAGCAGCGCTGCTGGGGCTATTCTTGGGACTCAGGGCCCTGCATTCTGGAGCTTGCCTGGCTGGCCGCCTGCCTCCTCTGTTTCCCAAGTCCTCTCCAGGAGGCTCTGATGCACGTCTGGTCTTGCTGCCCTGGGAGGCTGTGCAGAGGAGTGGGAGGGGGCCTCCTGGTGTGGCTGGGGAGGCCTGATCACCTTTGAGTCTGGTGGGCTGACAGCTGCTGGCCATGGTCAGAGGAAGTCCCAAGCAGCTTCCCTCAGGGGACAGTTTCTACTGAGCTCTCCTCCCCTCCTCACCCACCGCACCCAGACCCGGGTCAGTGGAAACAGTCCAGGCCAGCCACCGAGACCTGCCACTTCTGGCCTTAAGGCCACAGCCCAGAGTCCTGTCCCTCAGAGCAGATGGTCTGGGAAGCGGGGCACCTGGGCTGGGGGACAGCAGCAGCAAGTTCTCTAAGTACACCAGGGACTCGCTGAGCCACTGTCCTGTGCCAGGGAGCAGGAGCAGTGCACTTACAGCATTCTCTCTCTTTTTTCCTTTCTTGTGGAAATTTGGGGTAAGCAGAGCAGTGGCCTGCCAAGCGCTGCATTCTTCTTTTCCTGCGAAAGCATCTGTTTAAATACTTTCCGCCTCAAAGGAAAGAACGTCAGTGCATTCCAGGGCTGGAGGCCTCCTTGGGTTGAGCTAGCTGTGTGTGTGCAGAGCACTGCAGAGTACATGTGTGTGCATGTGTGTATGTGTGTGTGTGCATGTGCATGTGCATGTGTGTGCATGTATGTGTGTATGTGTGTCGTGCATGTGTGTATGTGCGTGTGCACATGTGCATGTGTGTGTGCATGTGTGTGTTTGTGTGTGTGTGCGTGTGTGTGTTTGTGTGTGTGTGTATGTGTGATCACATGCACAGGCTCACCTCCCTACCCACCAGATGCCCCTGGGAGGCTGTGTGCTGGGCATGGCTGGTCTCAGAGCAGAGATGTGCCAATGCAGCCTGGCCCAGCCCAGGCTTATACAGGCAGAGTTATGATGATGACTTTTGCAAACTCACTTGAGGTCTGGGGACTCTGGGGCACCTTCACAACCTCTGAGCTCCTCCCATGTTCTTTGATCTTGGAGGAGATGGGAACAGAGCTGTGAGGGGAGTGAGTAGGAGCCGAAGGTGTAGGCCAGGCTGGGCTGTGTGGTGAGGAATCTCCCAGTCAGGGGTCCCGTCTACTGTCCCAGACTTCTCTCTGGGTCTCTGGGGAAGAGTCTAGGTCGGTCAGTGGAGCAGGAACCCCAGACTTTGCCTAGCTGTTAGCCTCTCCCTGTCCTTCTTCTTGGCTCTTGGATAAAGACAAGAGCTTGGGAAGGAGAGCAGGCATCCCGGGTACACCCCTTGCTACTCTCTGTCCTGAGAGTCCAACCTGAGTGTGCAGCCAGTGCACCTGAAGGAAAGACTCTTGGGCTGGGCATGGTGTAGCTGGGACTCATGCCTGTAATCCCAGCACTTCGGGAGGCCGAGGCAGGTGGATCGCCTGAGGTCAGGAGTTTGAGACCAGCCTGACTAACATGGTGAAACCTCATCTCTACTAAAAGTACAAAAATTAGCCTGGCATGGTGGCAGGCACTGGTAGTCCCAGCTGCTCGGGAGGCTGAGGCAGGAGAATCGCTTGAACCTGGAAGGCGGAGGTTTCAGTGAGCCAAGATCACATCACTGCACTCCAGCCTGGGTGACGGAGCAAGACTCTGTCTTAAAAAAAAAACAAGCAAACAAAAAAGAAAGATCCTTGTGGTCCAAGTTGAAGACTCAGTTCTAAAACATTTGTGGATTTGCCATGTCGCTTAGCCTTGGCCTCAGTTTCCTTCTGTGTAAGATGGGATAATGAGCCATATCCTACTGCTCCAGGTTGTCTGAGGTTAAGATGAGATCAGAGATGTGGAGGTTCTTTGAGAGAGGGTATGAATGATGCTATCAAAGAAGAGCGTGGGTCGAGGAGCACATGAGTCACAGGCATGCGGCTCGGTGGAGTTTCACAGTGTGAATAGATCATATTATCAGCATCAGCTCAAGAACCATCATCCTGAGAACCTGGAGTGCCCTGGTGTCCGTTCCCACCCTTAGCCGCCCCGTCGAGGGCACGCCGCTCTGACCCTGAGCACTGTATGTTTGACTGCCTGCATTTGAACTGCGCGTGGAGGGAGAATGCTGCTGTGAACACTCTTTTGGGGACAAACACTTTGATGTCTGTGGACTGTGCTAGAACTGGAGGGTCAGAGTAGCTGTGTGTTTAACTTTTTCAAAAAGGCACCTTTCTAAGGTGGTTGATTTTATCGATTTACACCCCTATCAGCAACACGGAGCTCCCTTATTATACACCCGCCCTCCCACACTTGGTTTTGTCTAAATGGTATTTAAATTCAAGGAGGGATGATTAATAAGTCTTTCTCTGTTGCCTCTGATTTAGATCTTGGAGAGGACTTTGGAACCCGACAGCTCAGATGAAGAGCCCCCGCCTGTGTACTCACCACCAGCCTACCACATGCACATGTTTGACCGGCCCTACCCTCTGGCTCCACCGACTCCGCCTCCCCGGTGAGGATCTGTCTTGTCTCAGAGCGCAGGGAGGTAGGGAAGAGGATCAGTGGCTGGGGCTGTGCACGAACAACGGGAAACTTGGCTGGATCCCTCAGTACATTCTCAAAGAACAGGCTTCTACTGCAGCAAGAGACATTTTAGCTAGATCCCAAGGAGAACTTGCAAAATGTAAGGATTGCAAGAACACATATTTCCTAGATTCCTACTCTGGGCTAGGTGGTGTGTCTCGTACCATATGGGACACAGAGCTAAGTAAAACTCAGCCTCTGCTTTCTGGGAGCTTTTAGTCAAGGGAGATGCCAGAGTAGAAATGACAAATATAGGGACTGTGTACTGACACTTCCCCCCCAAACCCACAGCAAACACTACTGATTAATCACTGTGCTCTTTCCTGCTGAGTCAACACCGAGCCTCAGATCCCCATCAACACAGAGCACAGCATTCCCAGCTAGTCATCAGTAATTGATGGAATGGCTATCTGCCATCCTTGGGCTAGGGATGTTGTGGGGATTTTTAAGCAATGACAGCAAGTTGCTTTGGTTGGGGTATTTTGATAACGGGAAGCAGGGAGGTAGACTGCAAAGTCCCTGGAAACGTCTTCCAGGTTAGAAGCTCTGTAATTTGGAAGTTTAAAATGAAGCTAGGCTGGGCCTGGTGGCTCTTGAACTCCTGACCTCAGGTGATCCGCCCGTCTTGGCCTCCCGAAGTGCTTGTATTACATGCGTGAGCCACCATGCCCGGCCATGGGCCTGGTGGCTCACATCTGTAATCCCAGCACTTCGGGAGGCCAAGGTGGGCAGATCACTTGAGGTCAGGAGTTTGAGAAACAGCCTGGCCAACACTGTGAAACCTCGTGTCTACTAAAAACACAAAGATTAGCTGGGCATTGTGGTACACACCTGTAAGTCCAGCTACTTGGGAGTCTGAGGCAGGAGAATTGCTTGAACCCGGGATGTGGAGGTTTCAGTGAGCTGAGATGGTGCCACTGTACTCCAGCCTGGGAACAGAGCGAGACTCCCATCTCAATCAATCAATCAATCAATCAATCAATCAAATGAAACTAGTTGGCAACAAGGTCCCATGGGTCTCTGGGGTGCTTGTTTTTCTAGGCTGCACGTTTGCGCTGGGGCTGCTGGAGCTGGGGTGTGGTGGCCTCTTTGCCCTAGAGCTGCTGTTTCTTAGAATGGCTCAGGCCTGGAGTAGTGAGGGGCTGGGGAGATGATGGAAGAGGGTACCTGCCCCAGTTGGATCTTCTCTTCTAGAGCAGTGGTGGAGAACTCTGTTATCATGCAAGTATAGCTAGCATTGACTAAGCACCCTTCCAATGCCAGAAGCGGAGAAGGTTCTTTTTTTTTTTTTTTTTTGAGATGGAGTTTCGCTCTCATTACCCAGGCTGGAGTGCAATGGCGCGATCTTGGCTCACCGCAACCTCTGCCTCCTGGGTTCAGGCAATTCTCCTGCCTCAGCCTCTCGAGTAGCTGGGACTACAGGCACCCACCACCGTGCTCAGCTCATCTTTTGTATTTTTAGTAGAGACAGGGTTTCACCATGTTGACCACGATGGTCTGGATCTCTTGACCTCGTGATCCACCCGCCTCAGCCTCCCAAAGTGCTGGGATTACAGGCGTGAGCCACCGTGCCCGGCTGCAGAGAAGGTTCTTTACCGACACCATCACATTGAATGAAAAGGTGGGCACTGTTGTCATCATCCCTATTTATGGACGAGGAAACTGAGCCTTGAGCGGTTTCATAGCTTCCCCAAGATGAAGAGCTGGAGTTGGAATCCAGGTCACGCTAACTTGCAGCCTGTCACCCTTCACTGCCCTATCCTGTCACCTCCCTAATGAGAAAAATCTCTGTGATTGCAGCTTAGGGAGCTCATAGAGTCCTAGAAAGTTACTGAGGGGAGGAGGGAGGGAAGTGTTTTGAGTCAGGGACAGGAACAGAGCTGGGATCTTTATCACGAGTGGTACCAGGAGCTGGCAGGCTGTACTGGAGTGGGAGGTGGGGAGTGAGTGGTGGGTCTGGGTGGGGCCTGGGCAGGGTGGGAAAAACAGACCGCTTCCATCTAACTCCACAGGGCTCTGGGATGGACCACAGAGCCCAGGGCTACATGATTTTCCTTTGAGTTTTTTTTTTTTTTTTGGTGGGATGGAGTTTCACTCTGTCATCCAGACTGGAGTGCAGTGACACGATCTCTGCTCACTCCTATCTCTGCCTCCCAGGTTCAAGCTATTCTCCTGCCTCAGTCTCCTGAGTAGCTGGGATTATGGGCATGTGCCACCACACCCAGCTAACTTTTATTTTCAGTTGAGACGGGGTTTCACCATGTTGGCAGGCTGGTCTTGAACTCCTGACCTGAGGTGATTCACCCACCTTGGGGGCCTCCCAAAGTGCTGGGATTACAGATGTGAGCCACTGTGCCTGCCCCTGCCTCCACCTTTTTTTTTTTTTCAATATCCCAATATGCTTTTACAAGAAGTTCAACTGAGGCCATAAGAGAAAGGATTTATTTTCTTCTTTAAATAGAAACAGTCTCATGATGTTGCCCATGGTGAATTTGAACTCTGGGCTCTGGCAATCCTCCCACCTCAGCCTCCAGGGTAGCTGGGACTATAGGACATGCCATCATGCTTGGCTGAAAATCCCAGTATAAATACATTATGAGATCCACACCCCCTCCCTACTTTGCCTGGGTGTTCAGCCTGCTGTGGGTGGGGGACAGGACTGTGTAGCCCAGCGATGGGAGCCCCACTTGGGGGCAAGGTAACCTCAGCACTAGACCAAGGCTCAGGAGGCCTTATTCAGACCCTGTGGGCTTTAGACAAGTTACTGCTCTTGCTTGAGGTTCTGGAACCTGACTCAGGAAATGAAGGCGTTGCAGGGCTAGTAGTGAATGTGTGAGAAGAACTTGCCTTATGGAGTTAGATGGAAGCGGTCTGTTTTCCCCACCCCTTCCTTCAGCTGCCTAGCTTAGGATTCTTCAGGCACCTTTGCTGTGTGGCCTTTGGCTCATTGCTTAACCTCTTTGAGCTTCATTTGCCTCACCTGAAACGGGAATAGTAATTTCTACCTTAGCACTCCAGGAGGATTGAATGAGATGTGTGTGGAGCACTCAGCACAGTCCCAGATGTAGACCAGACCCATAATCAGTGGTTTACTGCTCCCTCCTGTCTGCCAGCTATACTCGCTGGCCTCTGAGTTCAGCTGTAACATTGAGCATTGAGACCAGGGGCAAGGCTTCCCCCAGAGGCTAGTCTTCAGCAGAGGCATGGGTCCCTTTGCCCCAGGATGGCTCTGCTAGATCTGGGCCTCTAGGCCATCTCCAGTGCCTCGTCCATTCCCTCCATCCAGGATATTCATTTCCAGCATTTACTGAGTTGCCTGTTGTATGCAGATGCTAAGCCGTGTGTGATGAGGAGGTGAGCTCGGCATTGCTGGACCATATGTATAAACCATGTGCTGAGCCATGTGTGTGATGAGGAGGTGAGCTCGGCATTGCTGGACCATGTGTGTGAGCCATGTGCTGAGCCGTGTGTGTGATGAGGTCAGCTCGGCATTGCTGGACCGTGTGTGAGTCATGTGCTGAGCTGTGTATGTGAACCATGTGCTGAGGCGTGTGTGTGATGTGGAGGTGAATACAGCATTGCCTGTTTCCCCACCCACTGCCAAGGAGATCGGGGTCTAGAGAAGCCGAAGACATGGGGGCAGGTAAGGCTGCCAGGAGAAACTGATGTCCAGGCTGTGAGCTGAAGACCACATGGCAGAAATCTAGAGAAGCAGAGGACAGGGAGGTGCTCCGGCAAAGGAGCAGCATGTGCGGTGGCCTGGAGACAGGAAAGAGGGCCCATGTGGGACCTCCTGGAAGTATCTAACTGCAGGTGAGACTGGACGGGCAGGCAGATCAAGGGCCCTGTGGCCCTCCAAGGAGCTTCCATCTTCTCTTGCAGCCAGTGGGAGCCTTTCAAGGGCCTTAAGCTGCAGAGTGACACCACCAGGTTCGTGTTTTAGGAATCTAAAATCTGGCTACTGAGGGAGATCAGATTTGAGTAGGGAAGTGGCCTGCCCCCTTCTGCCACCTCCAGTCACTGGGGTGCTGAGAGCCTGTGTATGGGGCAGAGTTTGGGAACATGAGCATTGTCCTGCTAGGGCACAGAGGTAGGCAGCCCCAGGAGCATGCTTCAAATGTCACCATCCCTGGGCCCAGGTTTTATCTGGATGATCTGTGTGTCCTGGGACATGGCCTGAACCCGTTCTGGACCTCAATGTACTGTTTTTACCAAAAATCGTATCTGGGAGGCCATCATGTCTGATGTTCCATGGGTAAACCTGGGGGTTCGATGGGGCTTGAAGTTGTAGTTTTGGGGTCCAGAGGCAGAGGCTCTGGGCTGGGAAATCCTCCCCAGCTTCGATCTCCTTCCCCTCCCCCAACCTATCTTTCCCTCCATCTGTCTGAAAGAAAGTCGGTCTCTGAGACCCAGGGGACCCCTCCACACAGGCCGCCTGCTGTTTTTCCGTTAAAATTACAGCCTTGGAAGTTTTTTTTATTTGCGCCTCAGCTCATTTCTGACATTCCTTTCCGACCACAATGGAGTTGCCTGGGCTGCCTGTGCTCAGGGCCCCCAGCTCAGGCAGCTGTGGGCTGACCTCATCTCTACCAGTGCCAGGCAAGGCGCCGGGAGGGGGCTGGGTTTGGCCTTCCTACAGGACCACAGACCCAGCAGCAAGGGAAACTCAGCCGAGAACAGGGAACTCCTCCATCTTGTCCCGTTCTCCACTTGGAGGCCTCATGGCTGGAGGGGTCCAGATGCACCCCTGGGGTCCTCCCTCCGCTGCTTTCCTGGGTGGCTCCCAGGTGTGGTTAAATTGGGGGTGGGCATCCACATCCCAGATGAAGACCCTGAAATCCAAGAACGGGCAATGCCCCTGGAGAGGACTCCTCCCTGCTCTGGCCTGGGCTGGTCTGTGGGTCCCTGAGAGATGGGGCTCTCTCTCTCCCCATCTCTGGCCTTCGGAAAAAAACGAAGCCTCCAACAGTGACAGAAGGTGGCAGTGATGTAGAAGGAAATTTGGCCGTGGAATGGGAGTCCAGGGTTGTGATGCAAGCTCCTCTCTGGACCATTCCCCCTCCACCTGTGTCTGCGCAGCGAGAGGGTGGACGAGGCGTGCTGGGGTTCCCTTGGCTCCAGTCTGCGAGAGCTGAGCTCCCCACAGGCACTTAGCAGCTGGTTATCCTGTCTGCTGCCGCCCCCGCCCCTTCCCTGCGCCCCCGCCGCCGGCCACCCGCCCAAAATAGAAAAGGAAAGGAAGTTATTTCCATAGTCAGCGGCAGCCCGGAAAAGGTCCCCTCCAGTGAGGGGGCAGGCGGGATTCCTGGAGCTGGAGACCAAATCAAAGCCAGGCCCGAGAGTGAGAGCAGCCCTCACCGCCCGACCCTCGGCTGCCAGCTCAGTGCACCGTTTCCCTGATTCAGCGGAACACGTGTCCTGCGGTTGCCACGCTGCAGGCTGCCATGGAGCTGTGGGGAGCTCCTGGACGGACTCCAGGCTGCCCTTAGGCCCAGGCGGCAGGGCGGGAGCCTGGGGGTCAGGGAGGGTGTGGGCCAGCCCCCTCTTCCTCTCCTGCCTTGCCCAGCTGTCGGTTCTGCCATGGCACAGAGCTCCTGCCACACACACGCCAGGCCTGGAAAGAGCAGCCCGGAGCACCCTGAGAGCAAGATCCTTGCGCACTCACATCAACTCGTCACTGCTCAAAACACAGCCTCCTGAGCGGCTCCCCGGCACCTGAGCAGGGAGACAGCAGTTTCTAGATGAGAAAACTGAGCCCTAGAGGATAGGGGCCCACCCAAGACCACCCTACAGGCTGGTAGTTGAGCCGGAACTGGAGCTTGGATTTACGGGGATCCTGGCGTAAACCAACACGCAGCAGGCTGTGCTGTTGGGGCTTACATATCTGTTTCTTTGGACCATACCTGTCACTCAGCATCATGAGACTGGCACTGTGTAAGTGCTAGGACAGCAGCAAGAAAGGATGCGATTCCTGCTGTCTTTAGGGGACATTGGTAAACATCTACATCTGCATCCACAGCGTTCCGCATGAGCACCATGGGCAGACAGCTCTGCAGGTCTAGAGATCTGGGAAGCGCTGAGTGACTGGAGAGCAGTGAATGGAGGGGAGTTAGCTGAGGCTGGTCGAGAAGTCTCCAGTGATGAGGCAGAGTGACAGGCCTTTGTTCTGGAGGCAGTGGAGGCCATGGGAATCTTTTTTTTTGAGATGAGTCTTGCTCTGTGGCCCAGACTGGAGTGCAGTGGCACTATCTTGGCTCACTGCAACATCCATCTCCCAGGTTGAAGCAATTCCCTTGCCTCAGCCTCCTGAGTAACTGGGATTACAGATGCACAGCACCACGCCTGGCTAATTTTTTTAAGTAGAGATGGGGTTTCACCATGGCCAGGATGGTCTCAATCTCCTGACCTCATGATCTGCCTGCCTCGGCCTCCCAAAGTGCTGAGATTATAGGTGTGAGCCACTGCACCCAGCTGGCCATGGAAATCTCTGAGCAGGATCTGACCTGCCTGAGGACCTGGTGTGATGGGGCCAGGAGACCTGGGGTTGGGCTTGATGGCTCCCTCCTCCCTGTCACTTCCCATCCTCTAGGATCGACGCGCTGGGCTCTGGAGCCCCTACAAGCCAGAGGCGCTATCGGAACTGGAACCCACCGCTGCTGGGCAACCTCCCCGATGACTTTCTCCGCATCCTGCCCCAGCAGCTGGACAGCATTCAGGTAATGGGGGCCAACCCCACCTTCTACTCCCACCTGCCTGTCCAGCAGCTCTCTTTGCCCACACAATTTGTGCCAGCCAGTTTTACTTCCTGATCTTTAAATCCAGGCTGAGCTGTTTCTGTTGCCCTGGGTTTGTAGGGAAGGGACGCTGAACTGAAAGCTTCACTTCCTGCCTGGGCCTGGGGGTTTCCTGTTGTATTCAGGGAAGGTGACAGCTCAAGGAGGCAGCCTGCTGCAGCCATCACCTCAGGCTGGAGAGAAGCGGGCATAGGGCAGCCAATGGTGGAGGGCCAGGGCAGTCCCCTTCCTCCCTTGGGAAAGGGCCAGAGGCAGCTTCTCCCTAGATGGTGGCATGCCCCAAGGTGCCTCCACAGCAGGGCAGGTCCACTCTGACGCCGTTGGTGCAGGGAGAGGGTGGAGTTTGGGCATCCACGTGTAGGCTGTTCCATGGTTTGCAGATTTCTTTCCAGGACTCTTCAGGTTGTAGATGGTGGTCCATGATGTGGAGGAAAAATAGGTTTTAGTCTCCTGCCATGTTCCCTGCAGCGAGGGCTCTGACCTGTCCATTGGATTTTGGCTGGCAACCAGGTTCCTTCAGGAGGTGTGAGCCTCAAGGGAGGGCTGGAGGATGTTGGACAGGGCATGTGTGCAACCAGAGGGACGTGGGTGTTTGTGCCACACATGCCCTTGTGTGTATGCATTCAACATGCTCTCTCTGCTCCCCAGGGTAATGCTGGGGGCCCCAAGCCTGGGAGTGGAGAGGGAGGTCTGCCGGCCATGGCCGGGTCAGGGCCCCGAGACCAGGAGAGCCGCTGGAAGCAGTACCTGGAGGACGAGAGGATCGCTCTTTTCCTGCAAAATGAGGAGTTCATGAAGGAGCTGCAGCGGAACCGTGACTTCCTCCTCGCCCTGGAGAGAGGTGGGCAGTGCATGCAGCCACTTTTCCCTGGCTGAAGAAGGGAGGTGATGCCGGCTTTAGCCTTGCGGCTCGGGAAAGCACTGAGCTGGGGGCTGAGGGGGCCAGGTGCTTTCTGTCCTGCAAGGCATGACTCCCACCAGGTTATCCCATGGGAGCCCCAGAATTCTGCCAGTGCGGACCTGCGTCACTGGCCACCCCTTTCTCCCTCGGGACTCAGAGGAAGGAGGGTGTACACTCTTAGGCCTTCTTCCCTTTGCACATCTGCTCTGTGCCAGGCACTGGTCTTGGCACAGGACAGCAGGGAAAAGAGCACTGCCCTTCCCCACGGCACCAGCCCCAAGGCAGGCATGATGTGTCTGGAGCTCCGGGAACAGAATGACTGGCTCCATGGGCGCCAGTGCGTGGGAAGCTCCTGAGTGGAAGGCCTTAGAGCAGGGGCTCTGGAACTCTGCGGGTATTTGGGTTGTCTCTGGGTTGGAGACCCTGCTCCCCAGCCTGGCTGCCTTTCCCCTGAGGGGTGGGAGTGTGTTTGGGCTGGAGGAAATGAGAGGGCCGTGGAGCTCTGTTGCTGTGATGGCCATGGCGTGAGAGCTTGTGTGTGTAACGGATGGTGTGTTGGTGGGGAAGGAGCAAGTTGTGCAGGGAGAAGGCTGAGCTGAGGCCCAAGGTCAGCCCCAGCTCTGCAGCAAAGGTGCTGGAAGTCTCAAGGCCTTTCCTTTATTATTTATTTATTTATTTAGAGACACAGTGGCTCATTTCCCTCTTGTGGCCCAGGCTGGAGTGCATTGGCTCGATCTCGGCTCACTGCAACCTCCACCTCCCAGGTTCAAGCGATTCTCTTGCCTCAGCCTCCCAAGTAGCTGGGATTACAGGCACATGCCACCATGCCTGGCTGATTTTTACATTTTTAGTAGAGACGGTGTTTCACCATGTTGGCCAGGCTAGTCTCGAACTCCTGACCTCAGGTGATCCACCCACCTCAGCCTCCCAATGTGCTGAGATTACAGGCGTGATCCCATCACATTTGGCTGGGTCTTTCCTTTTAAATGAGGGTGTTTGGACTCTATAATCTCTCCATGTCCTTTTAATTCTGACATTTTAGATGGTTGTCAAGTAGTAGTTTCTTTCACTGCTGGTTCTTTAAGAGCTGGGAGATGTTGTATGCACTCATATTTTGGGTGGCTGTGTGCTCATGTGATTTTGGGGGCTCAGCCTCTAGCAACCTACCACGTTTCAGCCCAGCCTGCCCCTAGGAGCCCAGGAGCTAACCTCCCTGACTTGTGAATGTGGTCCTTTTCCAGATCGATTGAAATACGAATCCCAGAAATCTAAATCCAGCAGTGTGTCTGTCGGAAATGACTTTGGCTTTCCATCTCCTGTCCCAGGTAACTTTGCCTTCCGGGGACGGACACCTAGAGGCATGGCACAGGGGGCTCACACCCAACTTTGCTTTGCATATTTGGAGTTTGGGAGTAGGGTGAAAAAACAGATTGTGGGAGGGGGCCTGGGCCTTTCAGCAGGCTGGTGGGGCCGCTTCTGCCCCCACCTCCATATCTACTCCATTTAGCAGCCCTGGGGTCTTTCCAGTTCAGCCACGGCTGGGCTTCTGAGCCCACAGCTGTGATCGAGTAACAGGCTGGCTGAACTCTCAACCTGTGCCTTGAGTGTAAGTTAGTCAAGGACACACGGCCGGGCGCAGTGGCTCACACCTGTAATCCCAACGTGAGACCCTTTGTCTCCACAAAAAAAATACAAAAAATTAGCTGGGCATAGTGGCATGTGCTTGTAGTACCACCTACTCAGGAGGCTGAAGTGGGAGGATCACTTGAGCCCAGGAGGTTGAGGCCGAAGTGAGCTGTGATTATGCTACTGCACTCCAGCTTGGGTGACAGAGTGAGACCTTTGTCTTCAAAAAAAAAGGAAAGAAAAGGACACATCATACCCGAAAATGCCCCATGGTGGGACTCAGAGACTTGATAAGTCTTAGTCTCTGCCCTGGGGGATCTTATGGTCTTTTTTTTTGAGACAGAGTCTCGCTTTGTCACCCAGGCTGGAGTGCAGTGCCATGATCTTGGCTTACTGCAGCCTCTACTTCTCAGGTTCAAGCAATTCCCCTGCCTCAGCCTCCTGAGTAACTGGGAGGGACTACAGGCACACGCCAACATGCCCAGCTAATTTTTTGTATTTTTTTAGTAGAGACGGGGTTTCACCACGCTGGCCAGGCTGGTCTCAAACTCCTGACCTCGCAATCCACCTGCCTCAGCCTCCCAAACAAAGTGTTGGGATTACAGGCATGAGCCACCAGGCCCAGCCAATCTTATGATCTTGTAAGGAGAAATGCCCAGAAAACAGGTAGAAGAAACTAGCAAAGCTGAGGACTTACTGATTTTAGCAAATACATGGAAAAAAAGGAGGGCAGGATCAATCTGGGGAGTTCACTCATTCATTCATGACCTAGCTGGAGAATATTTGCCAGCTGTTAGTCCCTGCCCTAGGTGTTGGAGGAAGAGGAGTTTCTAGCTTTTTGTACAAGGTGGTGGGGAGTAAGAATTGCCTGTAGGCCAGGTGCAGTGGCTCACGCCTGTAATCCCAGCACTTTGGGAGGCTAAGGCGGGTGGATCATGAGGTCAGGAGATCAAGACCATTCTGGCCAACAAGGATGGTGAAACCCTATCTCTACTAAAAGTACAAAAATTAGCCGAATGTGGTGGCATGGGCCTGTAGTCCTTTCGGAGGCTGAGGCAGGAGAGTCACTTGGAACCTGGGAGGTAGAGGTTGCTGTGAGTTCAGTCAAGCCACTGCACTCCAGCCTGGGCAACAGAATGAGACTCTGTCACACACACACACACACACACACCAGCCTGGGCAACAGAGTGAGACTCTGCCCTCCCCCCCACACACACACGCAAAGAATTGCCTGTAAAGAGGGCCATGCCCTTCTGCTCAGAAGCCCTAATGGCTGAAGGAGGATTGGATGGGGGTGAGGGAGCAGCAGTGCTACTGGGATTCGCAGACTACTGAGTTGAGCCACAGCTGGAAACGTGGTGCCTGGTCAGTCAGTGCCCCCTGCTCCACACATACATGCTGCCCACCTTGGGGAAAGGCTCTTGCCTGGAATAGACCTTGCATCATGCAGTGGAGTCGAGGGTGGAGGAGCAGAGGGATGGGGGGCTGAGCTGATCCCAGCTTGAAGGGAGAAAATCCTGTGGAACTGACTCATAAGCAGCAGGCTGGGAGCTTAGGCCTCAGCAGATGTGCAGCTGGGAGTTTTAAGCAGGAGCTTCTTGTCCTTGATCCTGAATTAACTAGAGACACTGGGGCTGCTGAGATGGATCAGAATGACTCAGAGGGGACTTAGCAGGCAAGGTGACTGGGGATTAATGGAGTTTCAGGACAGAGAGCAGGGGCTTCAGAAAGGCAGCAAAAGACCCAAGTGGGTGCTGAGCAAGCCTGGAAGACTCTGGGTGGCCAGCAGGGTTCTGACTCCAGAACCAGCCCCATTCTATTCCTACTCACTGTGTAACTAGCCAGAAATCCTGTGGCTGGGAGGGAGCGAGGGATGGGCTCACCCTGGCAGGAAGGACAAGGGACTTGCTGCAGGTGAATGCCAGCTCTGAGCCAGCACCTCATTAGACTGTCACATGAATTTCGGGGTGCAGCAGGTGCATGGTGTGCTGGAAAATGTTCCACGGCCAACTGGGTGCAGTGGAAGCCTGATGTGTAGTGCTTGGTGACCGCCATGGTGGAAATACGCCCAAGCTACCAAGGTAACTTCATGAAACGTGGAATTGGTCAGAGGCGTGGACGGTTGGGAGCCCACACAAGCTGGCTCTCCACACACACAGCAACCACTAGACCCTCCCCATTTTAACAGAGGAGGAAACACAGTCCACAAGGGGAAACAGGAGCTCCTGGAACTCCACGTCCTCCTTGCTTTAAAGTCGCTCCTGGCCAGGGAGGAAACCTGCTCTTTCTCTGCATTTGTCCTCAGACGGGTGGGTAGGGCTGGGACGGCGGCCGTGGCTGCCACACTGGCCAGCCTTCAACAGGTGTCTCCTTCCAGGAACTGGCGATGCCAACCCTGCTGTGTCTGAAGATGCCTTATTCAGGGACAAGCTGAAACACATGGGAAAGTGTGAGTCCCTCAGACCCCGATGCCCTCCCGGCTTTTCTGAGACAGGCCCTGTGGCCACCCAGCGGGGAGGGAGCCCCCCAGAACGTGCCACACAGCTGACTCTCGGTGAACCAAAGTGACTCTTTCATCGCAGGCTGGCTCCCTCAGCCTTCCTGCCTCATTTCCCTCTACAGCTGAGTCTAGATACAAATTAAGTTTTAAATCCTCTTGAGCCAGATGTCTGCAGAAAAATAACGTGCTGTACATGCTCTCACCCCATTCCTCGTGCTCACGTTCTCTGTGTCTTGAGGAGGCTTGGCTGGAGCTGACTGCACAGAAAGGCCTTTGCTAAGCCTCTGTGGGGGTGGGGCTTCTTTCCACAAAGTCCCACCAGCATTGAATGCCTCCTTCCCGCCCCCTCACCTACCCGACACACAGACCCACAGCCATGTGTGAATGAGGCTGCCATCCTTTCAGGCTCCATTTCAGGGAAAATCTCGGATTAGTCATGGAAATCCCAGAACCAACTTTGGAGGTGGCTAGGGGAGGGGCGGGAAGGCGGTGGTGGCGGGAAAGTTAGCCAGGATGCGTTGCAGGGAGGTGCCGCTGGGAGGGAATTCTCAGATCTCCTGTGGCCTGCGGTGGGCCTGGCTCCCGGTGGCCTTTGCTGACTCTGCAAGCTGACCCGGGAGGCAGCCTCTCGCTCCTGGAGTGGGGTCCTCAGGGGTCTGCAATTCCTGTCACCTCTCCCTCCCCAGCTCCCACCCTTGTCTGCCCCCTGCTCCCCACTCCAAGGGGCCTTGGTCCTCCCTGCCTTTCCCACACCTGGGAGGAGGCCATCTGGTGTGCTGGCTGCTGAGAGAATGAGTCACAGGTCTCTCTCCCCCAGCCACCCGGAGGAAGCTGTTTGAACTTGCCCGAGCCTTCTCAGAGAAAACCAAAATGAGGAAGTCAAAGAGGAAACACTTGTTGAGGCATCATTCGTATCCTTTCCAGCCTGGCACTGGGGACAGGGGTGGTGGAAGCCAAGGGCCACAGAGCACGACCTACACTGGACTCGCTGAAGCCCTGCCCTCCCCTGGGAGTGCGACCTCACTCTGTGGCCACCCTCCCTCCTCCCCTACCCTCCATGAGCTCAGCCACCAGTCCACTGCCCATCTCTGGGTGCCAGCCAGGGGGGCAGCAGCTCCTGTCTCCCTTCTGTAGGCTCAGAAGTTGGCCTACAACTTATTTTTGGTCTGAGGTCCTATATGTCTTGGGAGAAAAAGTGATTCTTCCATCAAAATCAAACCTCCCCCTCATTTCTCTGGTTGAACTGGCGCACGAGTCCTCCTCACTGCAAGCATGTTGGCCCTGCCTTCTCACTTTCAGTTCCTCGAAGAAAAATACAGCTTTCAACATTTTCACCCGAACTCCTATCCATGCTTCTCAAACAGAGCCTAGGATATGAGAAGCTAAGCAGCCAGAGGGGAACAGGGAGGAAGCTGTTTCCCTATCCCCAGAGATGTAAGCGGGGTGAGAGTGTCAGAGCCTGGCCACGCCACTGACCTCAGGAAAAGGAGCCCGGGGGACAGTACTAGGGTGGGGGGTCAGGTGGGTGTGGTGGATGCCTCCAGGGCTTGGAGGGGTGGGGCAGAGAGGGGGTGGGTCTGGGAGGACTAGGGTGGCACCCCCTCATGGGACAGTTTTCCTGAATGGCCTGGCAGGCTGGGGGCTGCTGCATCAACAGCCAACCTCCTAGACGACGTGGAGGGCCATGCGTGTGGTGAGGCTGGAGGGGAGTCATAAGCTCCCACTTCCCTGTGATCATGATCTCCCAGCCGAGTTCCTGGGTGTTTCATGGGAGCACCTGCCCTGTCCCCTGGAGGCACACGTTGAGGGTTGGTGGGCAGGTGATCCAAAGAAATGGATCCTCCCACTTGGTTGACATTTCATCTCCCTTCCTGCAACCCCAGAAAGCGGGCCCTAGCCCTCCTTCCACCTAGATGTCTACCTGTAGCATGAAATGCCAGGTACTGTTTTTGGGAAATATTCTTTGTGGTGTGAGGGGGCAGATAGGCCTACCCCTACCCCCGTGGGGGACCCTCACCCTGAGAATCAAGCCCTGGGCAGCTTCAGTCTGTGGGCCCAGAAGCTTCTCAACTTTCACCCAGTCCCTTCCAAAGGCCACGTGGGCCAGAAGACTCTGCCTCAGACCCTACCGGGCCCGCAGCTGGACGCTGATCCTCATGCCACATTCGAGGGTCTGGAGGCACCCAGAAACATTGGAGGTCATCTAGATAGTCCAGCTTTCCCCTCCCATTTTATAGAGGAGGAAACTGAGGCCCAAAGAAAAGGGGAGAACTTGTCCAAGGTCTCAGAGCTCAGTGGTGGACCCTGGCCGGTGCCTGGGTGTCCTGCTGCCTGTCTCCCTGGACCCATGCATCGCCCACCTGGGGGGACTTGCACGGGCCCCAAATGAAGGGGGCAGAGAGAGCTGGGTCAGCTCTCTTGCCCAATCTGAGGGCCGCGCCTGAGCGAGGCCCTCCAGGGTAGAGGCTGAGGCAGTGTCCCTCTCCTTTTCAGACGAAGACTTCCGGGGAAGGCAGCGGGAGGCACCCAAGGTGGAGGAAGGCCTGCGAGAAGGACAGTAAGAGGTAAGGCCTGGAGCCACAGCTGCCCAAGGCCAGGGCCACCACACTGCACCCCATCTGTCCTCCCAGGTATCCAGAGATGCTGGGCTTGGGCAGCTGAGTAGTGCAGGTCTCACGTGTCTTCCCTTATAGTCGTGGCAGGGACACGGGCGTGGGAACTAGTCCATTGCGTGTCTTTTTTTAGTTATTTATTCATTTGACAAAAGATAAGCACACCTGCCTATGACAGATGCTGAGAACAGGAAAACAAAATCAGCGCTGACCTTGAAGAGTTTACAGTCTAGTTGAGAAGACAGTTGAGGACACACATAGCACACTGAGAGGACAATTTAGGAAAAACTGGCTGGGCACAGTGTCTCACGCCTCTAATCCCAGCACTTTGGGAGGCCCAGGTGGGTGGATCACCTGAGGTCAGGAGTTCGAGACCAGCCCTGGCCAACATGGTGAAACCCTGTCTCTATGAAAATTACAAAAATTAGCTTGGCGTGGTGGCAGTGCCTGTAATCCCAGCTACTTGGAGGCTGAGGCAGGAGAATCACTTGAATTCGGGATGCAGAGGTTGCAGTGAGCCTAGATCGAGCCATTGCACTCCAGCCTGTGCGACAAGAGTGAAACTCCATCTCAGAAAAAGAAAAAAAAAAAGATAAAAGAAAAACTGAGGTGATCTCAAGCTGGCTGTGCACACACAGAGCTCTCTCCAGCCGCCTGCTTGGGGTGGGTCGGCTGGTGTCTGCCACACCGGGACGAGGAAACCCCTCCTGAGGCAACGGTTTCTGGCTGAAGCCCTGGGGCTCCAAGCCGTTTCTCCTCCTCTTTTCGTGTGCCCTCTCCGGGGAAGAAAGAGGGGATGCCAAGGCCTCCTCCAGGACTCACCAGGACAGCTGTCCCTCTTTCAGCCCCCCTTTCCAATGGGAGAGGGGAAGCTACCCAGCTGTTCTGCCACTGGTCTGGTCCCACTGGGCAGCAACTACAAGGCTTTCTTGAGCTGGTGGTTTGGCACGTGTGGCCCTGTGTCAGACCATGGAGAAATTTTGCCACCCTCAGGATAGTCACAGTGGAGGTGAGAGAAACCAGGAATCAGTAAAGACAAGCGCCCTCTCCCTTCTGCCTGGGCAGCTGGCCCCACACCTCCTCCACCCAACTCTCTGCCACATCTCCCAGCAGGCACTGCAGCCCCTTCCTTAACCATCAGTCTTTCCTCAAACCCAGAGCCGCAGCCCACTTCCCACCACCCTGGAGTACCCAGATACAGCCTCCCAGGGAAATGTCTCCACTGCCACTCCACCCCCTTCTCCTTCCTACTGGTCCCCAGGGAAAATGGGTCCCGTCCAAACCACCCTTACATCAGAACTTTGCTCACCATTTTTTTTTTTTTTTGAGATGGAGTCTCGCTCTGTTGCCCAGGCTGGAGTGCAGTGGTGTGACCTCAGCTTACTGCAACCTCCACCTCCTGGGTTCAAGTGATTCTCCTGCCTCAGCCTCCCAAGTAGCTGGGATTACAGGCAACTGTTACCATGCCTGGCTATTTGTTGGTTTGTTTGTTTTTTATTTTTTTAGTAGAGACAGATTTTCGCCATGTTGGCCACGCTGGTTTCAAACTTCTGACCTGAGGTGATCCACCCACCTGGCCCTCCCAAAGTGCTAGGATTATAGGCGTGAGCCACAGCAACCAGCCTCATCATTCATTCCTGTCCTAGGGCTTCCAGCTTGTCCCTTTGTAGTTCCTTCTGGAAGTTCACATCCTCTTCCTACTCCCCTTAAAAACCAAGGTTCCTTGTGTCTCCCTTGCCATCTTCCTTCATCCACTGCAGGCTGGCAGCCCCTCCCACCACCTGGACTGACGAGGAGGTCACCCAGCAGTTCCAGGGCCTTGCCCTCTTCTGCATTCCCCTGGTGCTCCTCCCCACGTACTGCCCCGATCTTTCCTGAAACTGCCCTTCCTTGGCTCCTGTGACCCCAGGAAGCCTGGTTCTCCTTCCTCTCTCCAGGCTCCTGTGTCTCTGCCCACTGCTTCAATACTGGCTCTCCTTGTTGCTCTGCCCTTGAACCTCTTCGGAGTCTTCTCACTGCCCACTCTGGCAGTGCCTCTGTCCTCTTTTATAGCACTAGCAACACTTCTGCACGTCTGGCTCCTACATTTGAATCTCCATCGCACTTAACGCTTCCAGAGCTGCTTTGTGTCCCCAGCTGCACCCAAGATTTTCTTTTCAGCCTTAGATGTCAACTCAGTCTCTCCTCCTGATTTCCCCCTTTAATTCTCTCTCTCTCTCTCTCTCTCTCTCTTTTCTTGAGATGGAGCCTCACTCTGTCACCCAGGCTGGAGTGTAGTGGCTCGATCGATCTCGGTTCACCACAACCTCTGCCTCCCAGTTCAAGTGATTCTCCTGCCTCCGCCTCCAGAGTAGCTGGGATTACAGGTGCAAGCTACCACGCCTGGCTAATTTTTGCATTTTTAGTAGAGACGGGGTTTCACCATGTTGGCCAGGCTGGTCTCGGACTCCTGACCTCAAGTGATCCTCCTTCCTCGGCCTCCCAAAGTGCTGAGATTACAGGCGTGAGCCACCATGTGCAGCCTCATTCTCTTTTCTGTTTCTTCCATCACCAGCCTGACAGAAGCTCATCACCTAGGTCACAGCCCAGTTCTCACTGCACCTACTCTGATTGCCCCACCACTAAAACACCACTTTAGTTCCATTTCTCCTATGCTCTTTTTCTTTTCTTTCTTTTTTTTTTTTTGAGACAGAGTCTTGCTCTGTTGCCCATGCTGGAGTGCAGTGGTATGATCTTGGCTCACTACAACCTCCCTCTCCCAAGTTCAAGCAATTTTCCTGCCTCAGCCTCCCGAGTAACTGGGATTACAGGCGTGTGCCACAATGCCTGGCTAATTTTTGTATTTTTAGTAGAGGTGGGGTTTCACCATGCTGGCAAGGCTGATCTCGAACCCCTGACCTCATGATCCACCCACTTTGGCCTCCCAAAGTTCTGGGACTACCAGTGTGAGCCACTGCGCCCCACCTGAATGAGTCTTCTGAGTCAAGTCTTAGGAACTCTTCAGCCTGGTGTCTCAGGCCTACCAAGTTCTGCCCCCAGTTTACCTTTCTCCCCCTACAGGTCTCTGTGGCCTAGCTCCCCTGAGCTAAGACATATTAGAATGGGCCAGGTACCCTCCCACCTTGAAGCCCTCCCCTACAGCTGCTTCCCTGGGAATTCCATTCCCCCACTCCATCTCCTGCTGCCAGAATCCCTGCAGCTTGGCAAGCTGGAATGGTTCTAGGAATTTGAATGGGGAAGATGACCCAGACAAAGTTCCATGGTTGACCTCAAGTCCCTGGAGAAAGGAGAAGGCTTCAGTCTTTGGTAACTTCTGCCCCAAACTGTCTCTCCAGAAACCAGTGTCCAGGAAAGACCATTGAGCTCCTATGGAAAAGACTCCTCCCATCCCTTTTTTTCCCCTGCCAGATGCCAGCAGCTCTTCCTTGCCAGAGACGATCTGACCCGGTGGGGGCAGCTGGAGAGCAACCCTGGCCCCCAGCTGAAGGGCCCAGCTGCAGCCGGACAGATGGTGCTTGAGAACCGAGGCCCAGAGATCCTCCAGCCACAGTCCAGCCCAGCCACTGCCACTTTCCACAGGACCTAGAACTTCAGAGTTGCTGCCTTGCAATTGGAGGAAGGACCTGGGGCCCCTAAAGGCAGCAGCAAATTACAGCCCTTTTTGTAGCCAGGTGTTCATATGGTCAATGAGTGAAAATGCAGGAACCAACCTCCCTTTATAAAAAAAAAAATCCAGAAAGCAGATCAAAGTTGGAATATGGAAAAGGGCAAGAAGATCCCACCAAAGGCTCTTCCGCCTGAAGGTGGAGTCCCTGCCTCTCTCCCTCCCCCATTTCTCCTGTCACAGACTGCCTGAGCCCCCGTTCCCATCCTCAGCTCCCTCTGGGCACTTGTGCCCATCCCTTCCATGGCTTCCTGTAGCTCATCCTTCCCCTGGGACTGCTGGCCCAGCACACAAGCCCTGCATCCAGCCTGGGTGGGAGATCCCTGGCCAGTCCCTTGGTCACTGTGAGGAGCTATGCGCTACTGCAGAGAGCATCTGCTGACTGTCCTGTCTGGACTCATCAGGCTGCTGCCATAAGGGATGGGCATGTTCCCAGCAGCTCCCCACCACCCAGCAGGGATGGGAGGGTGGCCACCTCTGAGCTGGAGGACTCTGAGGAGGCAGGGTCTTTAATTTGGCAGCAGACAAAAGCCAGTTCTGGAGTCACACCACGGTGGGGGCTCACACGGGCTCTGACTCCCCAGCTGGACTGGAAGTCCTGCTGTCCGAGGGTGGGCAGCAGTTGCCCTGGAGTGACCCCTTGAGCAGGTGCAGGGCTGAAGAGCAAGTCCCAGAGGCCACCAGCCTGGATGGGAGCGCCTAGGGCTGAAGGGCTTGCCGGGTGCCCCTGAGAAGAGTGGGTGAGCTAAGGAGCAGAACTCTGGATTCTAGGAACGCTTACACGGCACCGACCACTGCCACGGGGAGGGAGGCTGCCCAGCCTGCCGCGGCGCCCTGGACATGGGAGCGCGCCGACCTTCCGGAGAGCCCGGAAGCCTGGTCAGGCACAGGGCTTCAGCGCGGCTTTGGGAGGTTGGGAGTGGGATCCGATTCTTGGCAGGGCCCGGGTGGCCTCAGTGGCCCCAAGATCACGAGGGTGTAGCAAAGGTGAGCCTGTGATCGCACCTCATCCCGCCCACCCGCCCTGACTCCCGAGGCCGAGCTTCCCCTTGCTGGGGAGGGCCAGGACGCGCCGCTGCCGCCAAGCGTGACCAAGTTTGGAAACGCGCACGGGGCAGGGGACGCTGGTTCAGGCGGCCCTGCCGAGGAGCGAGGAGCGGCCGCCCCCTCCGCTGCTTCCCACGCCTGGCCTGGGGCCCTGGAGGGCAGGGGAGGTCTCTGAGGAGCTCCTCGGGTGCCCAACTAGAGTTCCCGACGGGTCTCTGAGCCTTCCCTGCGCCAGGACTGGGCGCACGGCGGGGGAATCCCTAGCCCCATGTCTGTGAGTGTTGCTTTATTTTTTTCCTCCTATGTGTGGGTTTTTTCTTGGAGCTGTTTCATAGGAATTCCTGTAATAAAGACTTGGTGTTCTCTTGGTGCTCTGATGTAGCCAGCAGCGTGGGCTGGACCCTCCTGCTGCCTCCTGGCCTGGGGAGGGGCTTGTCTCCTGGAGCCCCACGCGCATCCCCAGGATACCCCGGCTTTGCCTGTCCCATTCACCTGCAGCCCTCTCTGCCTGCACTCCCAAGGGGACACCTGCGGCTCTATCGAGGACCCGGCAGGGGCAGGCCATCGAGCGCTGTCTCCTTCCTGTTTGCGCCGGGACAGTAAACCGCTTGCTCATGGGCAAGGGAGACACCATGGGGAAAGCCAGTCTGTTGCGAAAGCTCCAGACCGTCACCTCCCTAAATAAACAGATTCTGGATTAAAGGCAGACTGGAGGCTGCAGGAAGTGCAATTTCAGACTATAAAGGGAACTGAAAGATCTCTCCTTCCCCCTTCTCCCCAGCTCAGCTGACCAACCTCCTGCCACAGGGACAGGCCTCTGATGCCAAAAGAGGAAGCTGGTGCCGATTCCAGACAGCACAGTTCTCAAGGTCGAAGTTTTTCCTTGCCTTGAGCCAACGGCCTCCTGGAGCTTCCAACCACACATCTTGCTCCTGAGCCCCCAGTCACTGCTGCTAAGGCTGCCCTTCTTTCCCCTGATGCCACGTTTCAGCTGGGTGGCCTCACCGGCTCTCTTCCCTGACAACTCCTGTGCCTCCTGTACTCCCTGCAGGGACTTCCCCACCTATCAGGATCTGGCCCCACCCTCAGTCAGACCCAGGGAGGGACAGGGTGATGCTCTACATGAGCGGTCCTGAGCAAACCAGGATTATCCTCCAGCCCTGATTCTCTGCGCTGTATTCATTACCTGGGAAGCAGTTCCAAATGCCAATTCTCAGTCCCATCCCAGACCTACGGAGTCAGAGACTCTGGGGGTACAGCCCAGCAACCTGTGATTCTGATGCATACCACAGTGTAGGAACCATGGTACCAGGCCAGTACCCAGCACTGGCTGTCCAGAATTACTTGAATAGCTTTTGAAAAAAACTCCTGGCCAAGATGAGGCTCAGTGGCTCACACCTATGATCCCAGCACTTTGAGAGATTGAGGAAGCAGGATCACTTGAGCCCAGGAGTTTGAGACCAGCCTGGGCAACAAAGTGAGACCCACCCGCTTCCCCGCATCTCTAAAAAAAAAAACAATTAGCTGGATTGGTGGTGCACACAGGTAATCCCAGCTACATAGGAGGCTGAGGTGGGAGGATTGCTTGAGCCCAGGAGGTTGAGGCTGCAATGAGCTCTGATTATGCCACTGCACTCCAGGCTGGGTGACAGAGCAAGACCCTATCTCAAATTAAAAAAAAAAAAAAAAAAAGATCCTGGCCAGCCCATGTGGTTCATGCCTGTAATCCCAGCACTTTGGGAGGCCGAAGTGGGAGGATTGCTTGAGGTCAGGAATTTGACGTTACAGTGAGCTATAATTGAGCCACTGCACTCCAGCCCAGGTGGCAGAGCAAGACCTCATCTCTGTTACAGAAAAAAAAATCCTGATGCTCAGTACCCTAGACCAACTATGGGTTGTTTGCTTTTTTTAAAAAAAAGCCTCCCAAGGTAATTAAATTTGCCATCAAGCTTGAGGACCAGCCCACTTGGCAATCTGTTAGGTGTTTGATATTAGCCCATTTGATCTTGCCCAATAACGATCACTTTACAGATAGCCTAATTACAGTTCAGAGAGGTTAAGTAACTTATACAAGATCAGAGAGCTAGAATGTCATGAAGCCAGAAGAGGAGGCCGAGGGCTGCCTCACTCCCAAACTTGTATTGCCTCCTCTACCTGCCACCTGCTCAAAGTGTGCTCTGTGGACCAGAAGCATTGCTGTCTCCTGAGAGCTTGTTAGGAATGCTTTTTTTTTTTTTTTTTTTAAGAATGTGTATTATCAGGCCCCATTTCAGAGCTACTGAATCTGAAACTGGGGTGCATTTTAACAAGCCCTTCAGATCATTCTGATACATGGTCAACTTTGAGAACCACAGTTCCGCAATCTGACTACTCACAACTTGGTCTGGACCAGCAACAGTCGTTATTACCTGGGAGCCTGTTAGAATCTCAGGCCCTGCCCCAGCCTTGCTGGACCAGAATTCGAATTTTAACAAGCTCTTCAGGTGACTTCTATGCATATTAAAGCTAGAGAAACACTGCTCTGGAACACTGGCTTGCAAACTTGCTGTACATTAGAATCATTTTCTGATGTGTGGGTCTCATTACTAGCGATTCTGATTTAATTGGTTTGGGAGTTAGCCTGAGAATCAGATTGTAAAATCCCAAGTGCTTCTAATATGCAACTGTTTGAGACCCTTACACCAGTTTGTCTGTTAGTGTAGATGTCCTGAAGATGATTGTAATCAGAGAGAGAAAGGGAGAATGCTTACCAGGTCTAACAAGGAGCGCAGGAGATGGAGCCTCTGCTGGACCAGATGACTGCTCTAGCCACCTACCCTCACGCTGCTTGCTTATCTGCAAGTGCTGAGTTCCTGGTATCCACAAGGTGATACCTGCAGATTTATCCTCTGCAAAAATGCAGGGCTGGGCTATCTGAAGTCTGGTCCAACCAAGGCCCCTTCCCCATCGTATGCTTAGATGTCCCCAGGAATTAGCCCCAACTTGAAAGGCGATCATGGGTCTGGAAAACACTGTGCCCACAAGAACTGGACTGGTTATTACCAGGCTAGGGTTTCAACCCTCCCTCTGTTCCCTTGAAGCAGCTGGTTGGAGATACGGTCTGGAGGGAAAACAGAATTTGGTCTGAAGGATGAAGGAGGCAGGCAAGGTGTGGGATGATGGAATGAAGATGGTAGCTTTTTGGTTTTTTTTTTTGAGACACAGTCTTGCTCTGTCACCCAGGCTAGAGTGCAATGGCACAATCTCGCCTCACTGCAACCTCCACCTCCTGGGTTCAAATGATTCTGCTGCCTTAGCCTCCTGAGTAGTTGGGACTATAGGCATGCACACACACATGTGTGTGTGTGTGTGTGTGTGTGTGTGTATTTTTAGTAGAGACGGGGTTTCACCATGTTGGCCAGGCTGGTCTCAAACTCCTGACCTTGTGATCCACCCGCCTCAGCCTCCCAAAGTGTTAGGATTACAGGCATGAGCCACTGTACCCCACTGACGGTAGCTCTTTATTGAGTGTTTATTGCATGCCAGACACTCTCCTAGGGAACTTTACATGCATTATTTCACCCAATCTTTTGCAAAAATTGTGTGAAATCAGTATTACTACTTGTGTTTCACACAGAGATATTAAAGTCCTTACTCAACCACTACCCTCAGTAAGAGGTAAGTAGTACCTGCCTATGAACCCAGGCAGCTGAGCTCCCAACATGATACCTAAACGCTAAGCTATACGGTGGGGTTGGGTGGGTGTGTGGGGGAATGCAGTTAAGATGCAGCACCCCTGAACAGATGCAATCTGTGGAGCACAGAAAGGACCCACTAGCTCAAAAACATCACCACGGTGATCAGTAGTGCCTGGAACGCCTCCATTAGCATTCTTTATCTGATTTTAAAAACAATCTTTTAGCATTTCCATTAAATGGCAAATATGCTATTGAGAGAGAAGCACATGAAATCCTTATGCCCATTATCACAGCACAGATTAATTTGTTGGATTAATGGGCTGCACCAGCTGGAGAAAGAGTTGGAAATTTCTGGAGGTGGCCAGGCGGGAGAGGGCGGGCATGTGAAGGGGGCTGTGTAGAGTGACTGCCACCTGGTGGTCATCTTACAGAACTGGCGGTCACTGGCGCTGAGAGACCCAGCACCATTTTCCCAGAAGGAAGATGTAAGCCTCTGTTTGGCCTTAGGCCAAAGAGACAGAAGGGAATTTACTCTGTTCATATGTTTTGTAAAATTTGCAAAACAAATATATTTTAATTTTTTTCTTGAAACAGAGTTTCACTCTTGTTGCTCAGGCTGGACTGCAATGGGGTGACCTCGGCTCTCTGCAATCTCTGCCTCCCAGGTTCAAGCGATTCTCCTGCCTCAGCCTCCTGATTAGCTGGGATCACAGGCATGTGCCACCACGCCCAGCTATTTTTTTGTAATTTTAGTAGAGACAGGGTTTCGCCATGTTGGCCAAGCTGGTCTCAAACTTCTGACCTCAGATGATCCACCCACCTTGACCTCCTAAAGTGCTGGGATTATAGGCGTGAACCACTGCACCTGGCCAGATTTTTTTCTTAAGAGGGCCACTGTTAAGATTAGATAAGCTTCAGGCCCCATAAAACCAGCATCTACCCTGAAGAGCTGAGACTTGGAGTCAGCTGTCCTTTCTAGAGAGTAAAAGAGTCACAATTCTTTATCAGGACAAGAGGATTATTTCAGGGACTCTAGTGTCAGGAACTGTGAAGCTCAGTACAAACTCAGCACATGCCTCCTTACTCTGACCTTGCCATTCAAAGTGAGGTCTGTGGTTACAGTGACCAACTCTCCTGGTTTCCCTGGATGCAGAACTTTCTTTTCCAAAACTGGGAAAGTCGTGGGCATATTTGGGCTGGTCGGTTATCCCAACTGCAGATTTGCGGCATCGGCATCAACCTGGAAGCTTGTTAGAAATGCAGACCCAGACCTACCGACACACTGCATTTCCAAGATCCACAGCAAACGCATGTGCATAGTAAAGATCGACTTACTGTGGCTTCCACGGGAAGAGAAGGGCCCACCCCGGCCCTGAAATGTATGACTTCAGGGGGTTTTGTGGGCTGCAAAACCCCACAGAGTGATTCTAACTGGCAATTCCAACAATAAAAAGCCAGCTTCTTGCTCCAGGCCCAGCTGGCCTGCTTTTCCCTGGTCACAGTGACAGAGGCCTCCCAGGGCATAAAGTACTTATTTCTCTGCCTGAACTGGAGTCTTCCTGGGGGCAAGCCCAAGTTTGGTGAGGAAAAGAGTGGGTAGCCAAATAAAAATAGCTCTTAGGCTGGGCATGGTGACGCACACCTGTAACCCCAGCAGCTCACACTTGTAATCCCAGCACTTTGGGAAGCTGAGGTGGGTGGATCGCCTGAGGTCAGGAGTTTGAGACCAGCCTGGCCAACATGGCAAAACCCTGTCTCTACTAAAAATACAAAAATTAGCTGGGTGTGGTGGCACATACCTATAATCCCAGCTACTCAAGAGGCTAAGGCAGGAGAATCGCTTGAACCCAGGAGGTAGAGGTTGCAGTGAGTTGAGATTGCACTATTGCACTCCAGCCTGGGTAAAAGAGCAAGACTCCATCTAGAAGAAAAAAAAAACAAAAAAAAAAAACCAGAAAAGAAAAGAAAAAGAAAATAGCTTGTATGTTGTTAGGTGAGAATTTTTTTCTTTTCTTTTCTTTTTTCTTTTTTTGAAAGAGAGTCTCGACTCTGTCACCCAGGCTGGAGTGCAGTGGCACAATCATAGCTCACTGTAGCTTCGACTTCCTGGGCTCAAGCGATCCTCCCACCTTAGCCTCCTGAGTAGCTGGGACTGCAGGCACATGCCACCATGCCTGGCTGATCTTTTGATTTTTAATAGAGACAAAGTCTCTCTATTGCCCAGGCTGCTCACAAACTCCTGGGCTCAATTGATCCTCCCACCTCGGCCTCCCAAAGTGCTATATTACAGGCATGAGTCAGGCAGCCAGCCTCAGCTGAGATTTAACTGCAGGACACTGTTGCTCTGAAGCATAGTCAGAAGTCACTATCACTCGTATTAACTGAGTCGTTACCATACACCAGGCACTGTTTTAAGCACTCAGCAGGAATGAACCCACTGGTACCTCGCTACAAACCCTCTGCAGGTGCTATGATTATCTCCACTTTACAAGTGAGGAAGCTGAGGCCCAGAGGACTGTAAAAGAGAACTATCTGCCAACGAGGCACAGAGGATGGCCAGAGTGGAAATGGCCAGGATGTGCAGGGAATGGTGAGGTAGGGGATTATTTCTGTTCAACCACAGCTCTCTCCCTATCTGTGTGTCTGGGGAAGGCCTCAAAGGAAAGCTGGGCCTGGGAGGGAGGGAGGACTGGATGTGGACAGGCAGTGAAGGGAGGCCTGAGATCCCAGCATCCTCATTTTTCCTAACTTGGCTTTATTTATCCATGCTGTTCACTGGAAAACTTGAAGAGCTCTGGGCCAAGCACCAGGCCAGGTGTGGGGAGGCAGAGCTATAAGTCCTAGTTCCTGCCCTCAAAAAGGCTCCTGGAGCCAGACTCAGAGAGGTCAACAGTTACAAGACACACAGAGCCCTGAAAGAGATAAGCGGAGGGAGGGAGGGAGGGAGCAGATATGGGCACTCACCCCGTCTTTCTGTGTTCTGGGGGCTGAAAAGCTTTCTCATCTGAACTGACTCTTGATAGTTCCTTGAAGCTAGGAATGGGTCTGAAGGGAGCTCTTAGGAGAGAGGGCACAAGCCCAACAGCCTGAAGGACAGAGAAGGCACTCTGCCTCCTTTTTTCTCTTTTGAGATGGAGTGGTGCTCTGTCGCCCAGGCTGGAGTGCAGTGGCATGATCTTGGCTCACTGCAATCTCCACCTCCCAGGTTCAAGCCAATTCTCTTGCCTCAGCCTCCCAAGTAGCTAGGATTACAGGTGCCCACCAACATGCCTGGCTAATTTTTGTATTTGTAGTAGAGACAGGGGTTTCGTCAACTTGGCTGGTCTCGAACTGCTGACCTCAAGTGATCCACCCACTTGGCCTCCGAAAGTGCTGGGATTACAGGCCACTGCACCTGGCTGCCCCCTCCTTTAATAGTCCTCCATGCCCTTCATCCTCTTGGTCCTGCTAATTGCTCCCTGATTTTAGCTGTCTGCCACAGGTGAGTAGCAGCATTCATGCTTTCATCAATATGCTGGGAATTTCACTGACCAAAGCTGTTCCACTGTTGGGGATGCTCTTCCTCATTTTGTCTGACAAATTCCCACACACTAGATTTTATTTATTTTTGTTACCCAGGATGGAGTACAGTGGTGCGATCTCGGCTCACTGCAACCTCTACTTCCTGGGTTCAAGTGATTCTCCTGCCATGGCCTCTCAGGTAGCTGGGATTACAGGCATGTACCACAATGCCCAGCTGATTTTTGTTTTGTATTTTTAGTAGAGACCAGATTTCGCCTTGTTGGCCAGACTGGTCTTGAACTCCTGACCTCAAGTGATCCACCCGCCTTGGCCTCCCAAAGTGCTGAGATTATAGGCATGAGCCACTATGCCTGACCTCCATGCACTATTTAAATTAGGGCACTATCACAAAGATGTGGGCAGAGTGATGGGAAGCCAGAAAGGATAGCCTAGACCGCATAGCTAATAACAGCAGGGCACAGCTTGCTAACTATGTCTAGGCTTGAAGGGGCAGGGGAGGGACGGTGGCTGGAACCTAGTGAGAGAGCTGTGACTTTATGTTCTAGAACTTTATATTCCAGGACGGAACCAGGGAAATAAGGTCTACTTCACTCTTCTCCTTCCTTCAGGTCCCCTGCCAACGCCTTGCATTGGCAGCACCAGCTGGAATCCAGCCAGAAGCAGAGGGCAAGGGGCTGGTGGATGCAGGCCACAGAAGTCAGCCTCCCGGGGCACAGAGCAGGGTGAAGGATGGCAGAGAGTGGGTGTGGAACTGCTTGGGCAAATGGAAAGTATTCAGCACTTACAGATCAATGTTAGGAGCTGAGCTGTGTCTCCCCCAAATTCATACATTGAGGTCCTACCTCCCAGTACCTCAGAATGTGACTATATTAGGAGATAGTCTTTAAAGGGGTAATTAAGTTAAAATGAAGTCATTAGGGTGGACCCTAATCCAATAAGTCTGGTGTCCTGAGAAGAAGAGATTAGGACAAAACCCTCCCACACAAAGGAAAGACCATGTGAAGACATGGGAGAAGAAAGCTGTCTCCAAGGCACAGAGAAAGTAGCCTTGTGCAGAATAAACCAAACTTGCAGACACCTTGATCTTGGACTTCTAGACTCCAGAATAGGGAGAAACTAAGTTTGTGTGTAAGCCACCCACTCTGTGTGTAAATGGTGTTAGGGCAGGCCTAGCAAACCTCATGCAATCAACAAGCTATTCAGCACATAACTTCATATTTGTGTATTTGCCTGTCTTCTCTACTGGACAGTTGGATTCTCTAAGACTCAGAATAGTCAGGTAGGTGTTTACATGTTTATGGAATGAATGAATCATCCAACAAGAAAGTAAAACAAGTAGGGCAATCTATGAAATATTATCAAAATGCTGCGGTCCAGGCAGCAATGGTGGATGGCACAGCACAGCAGCACAGCAGCAGTATCGATGCTGTTCCAGCCATCAGGTGTGCTCGTGTTGCTCACAGGCACTCACTGTGTCCCAGGGGCTGTGGTTAGTGCTTTGTATGAATGATCTCTTTTACTTTAGCAACAAGCCATGAAGATAGTTGACACTGCCATCCATATTATTATTTTTGAGATAGGGTCTCAGCTCTGTTGCCCAGGCTGGAGTGCAGTAGTATGATCATAGCTCACTGCAGTCTTCAACTCCTGAGCTCAAGCTATCTTCCCACCTCAGTCCCCTGAGTAGCTGGGACTACAGGCACGCACCACCACACCTGGCTAATTTAATTCTTTTATTATTATTATTATTATTATTATTATTATTATTTTACAGACTGGCTCTCACTATGTTGCCCAGGCTGATTTTGAACTCCTGGCTCAAGCAATCCTCCCACCTTAGCCTCCCAAAATGTTGGGATTACAACCATGAGCCACTGAGCCCAGCTTCACATTTTAATAGTTGGAGAAACAGAGGCTTGAAAAGTTACATAACTTGCCCAGAGTGATGCAATTAGTGGGCACGTCTACAATGAGGCAGTGACTACAATGGGGCTGAGGGGTGTTGTGGAAGAACATGGCCTTTGGAGTTTACAAATCCTTATCTGTAAGATTATCAGCACATTACCTAGGGCAGCAGGTGGTTGAACAACTGAATGAGATACTTGTTCCTTGGTGCCTCCTGTGGCACAGTGGTGCATGGTGTAAGTGCCCCAGCCCCTCATGGCCTTGGGAGGCTGTGGTCCCTACTCAAGAAGATAGCTTTTAATGTCCATTCTGCCTGCCCGCTGCTGCCCAACAGCTCCCTCCTGTATTATGAATGAATGCTTCTTGGGTGTGTATTTCTCGTGCAGCCTCGGAAGGCTGTTTATCAATAATGCTCCCAATATCCCCAAAATACCCCCAGTCTGCCTGCCAATATTCTGCTCTCAGTCATAGAAGTAGGCTGGAAAGGGAAACTTCAAAGGCGTGGAAGAGGAATGGACCACTCCAAGATTAGAGAGAACATTTCTGCCTTGCAGTTCTTCCCCTATTGAGGGTTTGGGTCTTTGGCTCCTCTCCCTGATCTTGAAATAAACCCTTTAACTCTTTAGCAGCAGTGACTGCACTAACCTACGGTAACAGTTCCTGGTGGGAGAAGAGAAGTGTGCCTATAATCTGGGCTGGCAGATAGTGCTGCTGGGACAGAATTAGAAAGTTGTTATGAGGCCTGGGAAGACTATATTTAGCTGGGAGCATGTTTACTCTTCCCAGAGCAAGGTTTTCTAGACCTCCTGAGGGCTGGGAGACTAGAGCCTTTACACATGGCCTGAGGCCAGAGCTGTGCTTGCTCTCTCTTCTCTGTTCCAGAGGGTCTGGAGGCAGCAGTGAAACCCACCTCAGGTTAGCTCTGGGTCTCAAATCACTGGATCCCTGCCTTGTAGACGGAGCCTGTTTTGCTGGACTCTTGAGCCTACCACCCTCCAGCTTTAGGCATAGCTTAAGCGGCATTGTGAGGTCTTGGAAAGGGCCCTGGCTGCCCCCGCCCCCTGCCCTGCCCCAGGCTGACTCTATCAGTTGCTTATCAGACAAGTTATTTAACTTCCTGAGGCCGTGCTTTCTCATCTATAATGAGGATGTTAATAGCTACCTTGTGGGAAGGTATGTGGATTCAGTAAGATAAACACACAAGAGCAGTAACTACTCATCAAACAGTCCTTCCTCCCCCTCACCAGCCTCAGAGTGGGAGGATTCTAGGATGACTTGACTTGGTTCCCAGGAGATATTGTGTGTGATTCAAAACATTCACTGGATTAAAAGTTCAAATATGAATACAAACTCTTGACAAGTCAGGCTCTGAGGCATACATAAAGAAAAAAAAAAGTCTCCCTTCCCTGCCTGCAATTTCACTTCGAGATATTCAATGTTTACACCCTTGGGTGTCCTTCTGCAGAATTTCTATCCTCAAAACACAAACATACATAGAAGTGTTTTCTTTTTCTTATGAGTTGAGATTCCATTAAACATGTTTCTCTGAAACTTCATTTATCATTTAAACATAAATCATGTACGTTAACCTAGGTAAATACATATGGATCTAGCTCATTCATTTTAATAGCTGCATAGGATTCCAAAAAAGGTATGAAAAATAATTTTCCAGACATTTCTCATCTGATGGATTTTTCTTTCCCCACTACAATGTTGCAACGATGATCCCTGCGCAAACATCCTCATGAAATGATGCTTTAATTTCTGTGGGGTTCTTTCCCCAAAATATGATTACTGGATCAAAGGTTATACACACACAGCTTGCATTTTTTTTTTTTTTTTTTACAGCTTAACACTGAGAGATGACTTTCTCCAGATTTTTTCGTTTCCTTCTCGCCGTTTGTTTGTTCCGGACACTTTCACTTTTCGAGCTCCAAGGAGGAGCTAGCCCGCGACACCGGCCTCGGGAAACACCAGTTGCAGCCAGTATCCCAGTTAGCGTGGATGCAGGTGGCACTCCGAGGACGAGGGGCTGAGTGGGGAGCACTACACAGAGGCGGAGGCCCGAGATCTAGCCTAGCTTGACCCTGGGCAAGTGACGGCCCCTCCCTGGCCTTGGTTTTCTTCTGCGTAGTCTGTGACTCTGAACAGCATCAGGCTAAGCTTGGGCCAAGAGATGGTGACCTCAAATCTCGGCCTTTGTTGGCTTCCCCGGGACTTAGGCTGAGCCTCACCCCCGCTGTGACTCATTATTTCCCCTCCGCGCGGCCCCACCTTTTCAGAGGAGTTGGCTCAACAAGGAAAGAATGAATGAAGTAACCACCATAATGAATCCCTCCCCCAGCTCGGTCATTTACTACTTCTGTCCGGCTTTGGCTCGCTTCCGCCTTTTTGGCTCTGCTATCGAATGCTCCTGCCTTAACCTGGCAAGTAGCCTCAGAACGCTCCCGTTCGGCCTATCACTTGCTTCTGCCTGCGCTGCTCTCCTGCAGGAGCTGCGGTGAAAGCGCAGTGATCCTTGGCTCGGCTAGCAACTTTTGAGCCCTTTACCTGGCGCAGCCGCTTCCGGTTCCGGTAGCAGCTAGTCACACTCTGTCTCAGGCGCTCATCATGGCAGGCAGTCGATTGGAAACCGTAGGGAGCATCTTCTCGCGGTGTGTGCTACGAGCCGCGGTGGGCTGAGGGTGCCTTTCCCAGGCTGGGGTTCTCAGCCGGTCACGCTCTTCCTTGGGGGGGACCTGAGCAGGGGGGACGCGTTCTGCAGGGTGCGGGGGCTGAGCCGGGTGAGGCCCTCTCTCATGTTCTCTCCTGGCTCGGAATAGTTGTGTCTGACGATGCCTCTCTTTGAACTTATGTGTCACGTTAAAGATTATTACAGCTGTCCCTCTTCTAGTGGAGGTCTCTAGGAAGAGAAAGGAAGGAAGAGCCTGATGGGCCTGACTAGACCGCTCTTGAATTTTTCCGTGACTGATCGTGGGTGGGACGCACAAAAGAAGATAGAGGGATTTAACCCCTGAGCGTTGTTAGTTTGGTTTGGGATGTGGGACAGACCTTCCCTGTAGGTGGGGAGCAGTCCTTCCCCCGTTCTGTGTTGCAGACCGCATGATACCTTTAATGTCCCAAGCTGTGCTAGACTGATTCAGGGGCTTTGGCAGGCTACTGCCAGTGACCGAGTTTCGTTTTGCTCCCTCCCTAAGGACTCGGGACCTGATGCGGGCTGGGGTGCTGAAGGAGAAGCCCCTGTGGTTTGACGTATATAACGCCTTTCCCCCTCTGAGAGAGCCCATCTTCCGTAGGCCCCGCTTGCGATATGGCAAAGCCAAAGCTTCCATCCAGGACATCTGGTACCACGAGGATCGGATCAGAGCGTGAGTGCAAAGCCCTATAGTATACGGGAGGCAACAGAACTTCAGAAAGGAAGGTTTCACTAGCAGTCTGGTAATTTAAATATGACATTGAGATAGGGGCTTACCCTGTGGGGAAGGCTTATCTAGCCAAATTGGGGAACAGCACTCCTTCCCCATAGTGAAACAAGTTCTGAAAAGTGGAATCTGGAGCCCAGCTACTGAGAAATCATTGCAATTATAGCTGCATGTTTCTGAGCATCTGCTTTGTGCCAGGCACTGTTCCAAGCTCTTTGTAAGCATTATCTCATTCTCTAGTAGGCCTTACTCTAACCTATAAGGTAGGTATTCTTGTTTCCATTTTATTCAAGAAGACTTCGAGGCTCAAGGAAATTAGCCAAATTCTTGTAATTATTAAAAACATAGGAGGGTGGCAGATCTGGGAATCACATCTCTGACTCCAAGCTTATGATGGTCATTGTGCCTTCTCCCCCAGTGGAGATAGGAGGAACAGTTCTATGGAGCTAGTAGTCCAGATCTTTGAAGCCACTCAGATAAAAAGATGGTTAAAAGTCTAAGAGATTTAAAAATAAAAATCACTAGGAATTTGAAGGAACATCATGTGTTCCTTCTTTTTTTTTTAGCATCCATTTTCTTGTTTTTTCTTTTTCTTAAGCTCAGTGGCAATAGTTTTTCCTTTTTTTTTTTAGTTCAGCTTTTTGTTGAACACACTGTAAAAGATGTTTAGTCAATGGCCAGGCGTGGTGGCTCACGCCTATAATCCCAGCACTTTGGGAGGCCGAGGCGGGTGGATCACGAGGTCAAGAGATCGAGACCATCCTGGTCAACATGGTGAAACCCCGTCTCTACTAAAAATACAAAAAAAATTAGCTGGGCATGGTGGCCCATACCTATAATCCCAGCTACTCGGGAGGCTGAGGCAAGAGAATTGCTTGAATCCAGGAGGCAGAAGTTACAGTGAGCTGAGATTATACCACTGTACTCTAACCCAGGTGACAGATCAAGACTTTATCTTGGAGGAAAAAGAATAATAATGGTGTTTAGAGATTTTGATTTCTGTTTCTTTGACAAGTTTCTCTACTTTCATGATAATTGGCCATTTGAATTTATTTTTGAAATATCTGTGTTCTTTACTTATTTTGATAATTATTGATCAACAAGAGTTCTTTATAGAATTGAAGATAATAAGTCGTTGACATACACTCCAGACATTTATTTATATGTTATTTGCTCTTCATAATACATGTTTAATGTATAGAAGTTGTTTATTTCATTCCACCAATTTTTTGGTGCCTTCTACATGGTAAGTGTTGTGCCAAACATTGTGCTAGGCGCTAAGGTATTTTATGTATTCAGATCTACTAAAATTTTTTCCTTTTTGCTGGCTTCACTGCTTTTAGGCTTAGAAGGTTTAGGAAAGTCTTTTTCAGTAAACACAACTCTTTTTCTGAGTTAACTTTCAAAGTGCAATAGGGGTTGAAACTAGTAGAAATATTCATTCTTTAATCTTCTTCCCCCCTTCCCTCTCCTTTTCCCAAAACTTAGTCACAGAAAATGTGCTGCTAATGGTTTCCTAGCAACATTCTTAAAAATATATTTAAAGTTCTCTATTTTTTTATATCAAAAAAAAATGGTTGTCACACTCTTTTGGGACTACTTCTCTGCTGCTGCTCAGTTTTCATGTTTCTCCTTTTGTATACCCTGAGAACTTTGCCCCTGTTGTGGCCTTAGCCTGTCGTTAATAGCTCTACATTCCGAATGCCTTGTCTTTATTCAATAACAGCCATTCATTAAACACTGTCATGGGCCGGGCATTGTCGAACTCATTCTTGTAACTTCAGTGCCTAGCCCAGCGCGTGGCATATAAGTTGTCTTTTGAATGAAGAAGCTAATGGACTAATTAATGAACAAAGGAACTACGAGGATGGTAGAGACAAAATTCCTTGGAGAGGAATGGTGGACGGCCAGAATTGGGACTGTTTGGAGAACAGCCATCAGAGTTTTATGAGTTTTCTGAAACAATTTCAGGAATGGTGGGCTAGAAACCACTTCTATGGCCACATTTCGCATCCCTATACATGTGTCTGAGATTTGAGTAAGTGGTAAATCTCTTGCTGCTGTGAATTTGCTGACAAAGCCCCTCCCCTTGAATCCTGATGTTAATTTTCTTTTAGTACCTAGAATTTGTCTGGTTCCTTTTCTGTTAAGTATTTAGACCAATGAGTGTGCCTAATTGACTTTGATCCACATCCCTTATT